TTATTTTTTACAGATAATGTACTGTAGAGACAAAGCAGTCATTTTGCCACTTTATAGATTACTGGTTAAGCCACATCTTGAGTATGCGGTTTAGTTATGGTCAACAGTCCACAGGAAAGATGCCCTGGAGCTGGAGAGAGTCCACAGAAGAGCAACTAAGCTAATTAAGGGGCTGGAGGATCAAAGCTATGAGACAAGGTTGCTAAATGTAAACTTGCTCACGCTCAAGGTGAGGAGATTAAGAATGGACATGATTCTGATGTACAAAATTGTTAGGTGATGATGGTAACATCAGCACTAAACGTTTTTCTGTAAACTCGCTAACAAAGACTAGAGGCCACCACCTAAGATTGGTGGAAAATGTTTTAAGCACAAAGGGCGTAGGGGTTTCTTTTCCGTTAGAACAGTTACATTTTAGAACTCTCTGCCACAAGCAGTGGTATCAGCAGAGAACATTGAATCATTCAAAAATTAATTAGATACCGTCCTAAGAGACCATAATATACAGGGGTATAGGTACTTTTAACTATTAGTTCACACAGGGACTCATATACACAAGCACGCACAACTCACACACAGACACACAAAGCTTGAACTTGATGGACCTGTGTCTTTTTTCAACCTTACATACTATGTAACTATGTAACAGTGGTTGAAGAAAGCGAAAGCGGCACATTCAATGCCAATGATTTTGTGGTATTTACCGTCAGTCCTGAGATGTTGGCAAACAACTCCAATGTTCCCAACAGAATAGGCAACGTAATGTGAGGGGACGTAAGGGACAATAGAATGTCATCTGCAAACAGAGACATTTTATGTGAATAACCTGCTAGTTTGACTACTTTGATGATCTGATTAGCTCTAATAGAAAGAGGAAAGGGCTCTAATGCCAATATAAAGAGAACCGGTGACAGCGGTCAGCCCTGGTGAGTACCCCTAGCAATGGGAAAATAGGAAGAACTAAAGCCCTGGTATTTAATTGAAGCCCTAGGATTAGAATAGTCTGCCCAGATCCAGGCCAGGAATCCCTCTCCAAACCCCCACTTCTCCAACGTTACAAAAAAATAAGACCACAAGATTGAGTCAAATGCCTTGTGCATATCGAAAGATAATAGGAACATTTCCAGCTTCGGTGTACTAGCCAGATTACACAAAGAGAGGACCTTCCGAATACCAACCTGATGGCGAGGGACAAAGCCCACCTGGTCTTTGTTTATCAACTGGCCTAAAAAAAAGTGTTGTGGTGCAAATTCAGGATCTTGGTCAAGAGCTTAACATCGACGTTGATCAGAGAAATGGGTCTAAAATTTGACCAAGTTCTAGTTTATTGGGTTTCTCATCTTCTTTTCTTTTCAGAAGGACAGAGCCATCTTTGTTCAGGCGGCATTCAGGGTCAGCATCTATCTCCTGGACTGAGATTCTGGCTCAGAGATGACACAGTTCAGTTCTTGGCTGTGTCCATCACTGACAGAGGCAATTGATGGAGGTGCCCTCCGCACACCTTTCAGCAGTCCCGGCCAACAATCAAATAAATGGTGCTCGAAGTAACTTCACGGATGGCACCGTGCAAAACACAAGATTGAAGAAAATAGGTCACCAGCACTCCATAAGTTAAAATGAATGAATCCTTTTAATGGACAATGATGTCACAGAAATCCAACATGAGCCTTATGGAGTGCTGGTGACCTATTTTCTTCCATCACTGACAGAGGTCGTCCCTGCTGCAGCCTCTCACCTTGTGACTTGCTGCAAAGTTACAATGTTGCAGTTGGATCACAGGGGAAGAGAAAACTGTCTGCAGCCGACTGATTACCTCATCTGAGCACAGTCATTTGGCAGGAACTCAAGTACTGCTTTAAAATAGATACAATCTCAATACAAATTGGCTAACTAAACGTGAGATTGTAGTCCATCATTGGAGTGAGCTTGGAGTGGTGGCTACTTTACAACACACACAGGGACATCGGGAATAAAAGTAGCCACCATCCAGATGGAAGGACAGTGTCAGCACCAATTCAGAGATGATTTAAGGATCTACAGCTGAGCGATACACAAACATGATACATTTTTGTCAATAGTTAAGGGTCTTAACTATTAATGCATTATAAAGATTTAACTCCTGAGTTTAGTGTCACTTTAGGAATACATGAATGAATTAATTTGGGGGAAATCGGTTAACATCTTAATGTGTAAAAAAGTATCTAAACCTCAATCAAATGTATTGAAATGTTGCTCATCTTCCCAAACCTATCCTGGAAGTTTCATGGGTTTTGGTTACCCACAAGGCAAATGAGTGACATTAAGCTTGTTTTTTTGGGAGCTTAATGTGGCTTAAGTTTCAAGGCAATTGATTGAGTTTTAGGCACATTATGGTACATTAAGCTCTTTTTACATTAAGCTAAATGTTTTCCAAAAGGAATAAAATAGTTTAATGTAAATAACTTTTGGTATGTTTTATCAAATGACCCAAAATCTTCAGAATATGTTGGCATAGATAGCATCTTGTAATGCGTAAAGTTTGGCGGACATTGGTTAACATTTAGGTGGTTTTTTGTACGTTAAGCCACATTAAGCTCCCCAAAAACAAGCTTAATGTCACTCATTTGCCTTGTGGGAAACCAAAATCCATGAAACTTCCAAGATAGGTTTGTGAAGCTGAGAACTTGGGTTGTGCAGCATTTCAATGCAATTGATTGAGATTTATATACTTTTTTACACATTAACCACTTCAAGACCAGGTGTTTAGACCCCCTTCCTGGCCAGGCCATTTTTCAGTATTCAGCCCTGCGTTACTTTGACTGACGTTTATTCCGTCATGCAACGCTGTACTGAAATTAATTTTATACAGTTTTTTGGGGACAGATAGAGCTTTCTTTTGGTGGTATTTAATCACCACTGAGAGCTCTCTCTCTCTCTTCAGCATTTACTACAAATCGGAAAGTCCATATATGGTAAATTATGTCACTGGAGATCCCCGCTGATCGGATCCGATCAGCAGGGATCTCCAGTGACATCATTTACCATATATGGACTTTCCGATTTGTAGTAAATGCTGAAGAGAGAGAGCTCCTTCCCCTCTGTCATCAGCGATCCACGATCATTTTGGTATGTCAGTGTCGGCAGGGGGAGAGAGAGAGAGAGGGGGGAAGGAGCTGGCACACGGGGACGTGCAGGTAAGGAGAGAGCTGCTGCGCATGTCCATATATTCGTGGACGCGCAGCAGCTCTCAAGAATCACTGTCAGTCATCAGTGGGGAGGATCCCGTCAGATACGTCGGGATGTCTTCTCATTGCGGCGCTTAGCCCCTCCCACCACCTAAAACAAGGTTTTACAGCCTTACTGTGCATTTTGGCTAATTAGAGTAAATTACATTGTCACGAACGGGCGCTACTCCAAGCGGCCACGTGACATATTGCAGTGGTAAGGTTCTACAATAACTCATAGCCTCCTGTCCTGACATACATTATTTACTTATTTAGCCTAAGGAATGCATTCATAAAAAAAAGATAGAACCCCATAGTTCTCCTTTTAAGCTCTTTTTACATTAGGCTGTTCACATTAAATGTTTTAGGATTGTAATAAAATAGTTTAATGTGAATAACTTTCGGTGTGTTTTATCAAATGACCCAAAAGCTTCAGAATATGTTGGCATAGATAGCGTCTTGTAATGCGTAAAGTTTGGCGGACATTGGTTGAAACTTCCTGTATATGTTGGGGAAGCTAAGAACTTGGGTTGTGCAAAGTTTAAAGGCAATTGATTGAGGTTTAGGTACATTATGGTACATTATGGTACATTAAGCTACATTAAGCCAATTTTCACATTAAATGTTTTAGGATGTCCCAATTAACTTACCATTAGAACAGATGGAGGGCGCAGACTATAACATTAGACACAGTAGATAATAAATAAGCTTGAATCACGAAAATGGAAAAAGGCAGTACACAGTTACCGTTTGCAATGTTTCTTCTTTTTTTCCCTTCTGCTACTATTTAAATTTTTTTTTAAAGTTTAGCCTTTAGAGGAAAATTAATATTTAGGTTTAAGTTTTGAGTTTGAATGAGATTTTAAAGTGTTTTTATACTGTATAAATACAATTGTTTTACAAAAAAAGACAAAGGATTCTCAGAGGAATTCTGGGTTAGCTAGGCAGATAACACAACAGTAGCAGCCTGTTTAGTGGCTGCCTTTGTCAGATTGAAACCATTCTCATGCAATAATTGTTTCAGATAATAAAATAAATATATATGTATATATATCAGGGGATGCAATGTATAGTCATCTAGGATGTGGACTTCCACAAAATGTAATATATATGATATGTACTAGGGATGCACCGGTACCGTTTTTTCCTGTCTCGAATACGAGTTCCAATATTCATCCTTCAATACTCGCTGATACCGAGTACCCCTGGTGGTACTTCCGCTAGCATGGAGCCGGCTTCCTGGTCAATCAGGAAGGCGGGCGGTGTGTTATTACCAGCTTCACAGCCAATCAGCATCAAGCTGGCCAAACAGAATGGAGCCAACTTCCTGGCCAAACAGAATGGAGCCAACTTCCCGGCCAATGAGTTCATTACGCTCTAACAGGCTTCCTGATTGGCTGGAAAGCCGGCTCCATGTTTCCACGCGGCACAGCTGGTCAAAGGAAATCTTTCTCTGAGCAGAAGTTCCGGTATCGCGGGTTTGTATCAGAGCATTTTGGAGAGTAAGAGTACTCGCCCAAATACTAGGTATCTGCACCGATACCAATACTAGTATCAGAATCGGTGCATATGTACAATGCAAAGATTTCATGTTAAAAACTTAACAGTTTTCTTTATTTCAATGTCTTATGCTATGGAAAGAGAAACCAATTTTCAAAATATCTGGTAGCGAGGAAGTCCCTGAATGGTGGCATGTCCAAGGGCCTGTGCTGACTCTCATCACCTCTAGTACTTGGCACATTTCCAGGCTTTGATTCTTATTTCCTTAACAACTGTTTTTTTTCTTTATTCCTGCAGTCGTAAATCAGGATGGCCAACCCCTAATTGAAGGGAAACTTAAAGAGAAGCAGGTTCGCTGGAAGTTTATCAAGAGATGGAAAACTCGTTATTTCACCCTGGCTGGAAACCAGCTTCTCTTTCGTAAAGGAAAATGTGTGAGTGCTCATGTACAGTCCAGATTTTAATTATTCATTGCCCTTGATAATACAGTTTGTAGCTCCCAGCCAAAGTTTCTTGTCATGTTTGTTTTTTGATCAGTGGGGTCTGTATCTTTTCTGTGCAGAAACTGCACACATGGCCCTTCATGTAAATGGGTCTTCAGGGTGCTGAGTTACCCTGAACAGTTCTGTACATGCTGTTCATGTAAGATGAATCTAAGATTAAGTGTGACTAAATGTTGGCTATAAAAAGAATTAAACTCAAGGCAGCAAGTCTAGAGCAAAAACCTGACTGGTTCAGATACAAAGCTGGTCTGTTAAAGAACGTATAGTTTATATTTAACTTTCTAAAACCTTTCTCTTTTTATTTCACATAGTTTGCCTGCAGTCTATCATTTTAGTAAAATGTTACGTAACAGAATCTTTGCTATATAATACAAAACATTTGCCATTTACTCCTAGCTAGGGTCAAGGTAAAGCTTTAAACTCTATATAATGCCAAAATAATTTTTTGTTTTGGATGGATTATGAAATGATTAAAACCTCTGTTATGCTTTTTAATTTGCTTTATTTGTCTTTTGGGGGAGATTTCCCCTCACATCCCATCCCAGACTAGGACTCCTACCACAAAGAGACTGGAAATGCCGGCAAAGTAAGAGGAAAGCTCATTTTACACTGTTGCCACCAGAACATACAGTATGTCCCTATAGGAAGATTTCACCACTATTCCTGTTCATTCCTGAACATTGTGAATTCCCTCCATGCTTTGTCCTGATGACCGCTGAATCTCCCAAGCAGGAACACAGGCTGGGTTCATGCTGAGTTAGTAAAAGTCCATGAACCCATTGCACTCCTGACGGCTTAACCCAAACTTGGCTGGTGGGTGTAGCGGTAATCGACGGATGGTAACCGTCACATACACAAGTAGAAATGGGACACCGGCACTCTATCTGCAGATCAAATGCGTCTTTTTATTGACGTAGATGAGTAGCTGAGTTAGCACACACACGTTCACGTGTGTTCTGTTAAGGGAGTCGATTAATTTAAATAGGCTGCTAAGGCATCACAACGCTGGAGGGGCATAACATTGCATTGCACCAATGTAATGGTGTGAACGCTGCAACAAACCGCAATAAAAACCTAAAAGAGGTAGGAAAAAACAATGTAGGATATCCACATTTTTTGTTAAAGCAGAACTCCAGTTAAAACTTTTATTAACCCTTGCAGTGGGGATACCCCCACATTGCAAGGGTTCAGTGCTCGTTTTTGCCTAGGGTCAAAAAAAGTTATACCTACCTGATCCTTGGAGCCAGCCAGCTCTTAGACCAGTCTCTTCTGCCTCTCTCCCCCTCTGCCGCAGCGGTCAAAGGATGCTCGCGTCATGATAGGTGCGGGTGAGTATGACTTTTTTTATTTTTGACCCTAGACAAGCAGTTAACCCTTGCAGTGTGAGGGTAGCCCCACTGCAAGAGTTATTAAAACTTTTAACTGAAGGTCTTCTTTACAGAAGAGCTGCATGCAATATATATATATATATGTATATTTAACTGATAAATATACAATGAGGGGAATTTATCAAAACTGGAGCAGACAAAAACTGGAGCAGCTGTGAATGGCAACCAATCAGCTTCTCTCTTTCATTTTCAAATCTTAACTTAAACTGAAGAGAGATGCTGATTGGTTAACATGCAGATCTGCTCCAGTTTTGATAAATTCCCCCCAATATGCATAACTGTTTGCTTTAGGTTTTTAGATGCACTGTGTGGAAGAAATACAATGCTCCACAAAAGCAGAAAGTGACACTTGTCTTAAATAACTTGTTATAAAAGATGCTACATAAATTACTTACACTAAAAATAATAAGGAATATACTACTGGAGCACATCAATTGTGTATCAAACCCCAGCAGCTACATTAGCCCCATAATAATGAAAGTAAAAACAAATCTTAAAGCGGACGAACTGCTGATCATCAGGCTTTCTATGGCAGAAGATACTGTGTAAGTCACTTCTGCCATAAAAGTTTTTTTTCCACCTTTCAGCATTTTTTTTTCTGTGTGCTGAGCTGTGCATGTGCAGCTCAGCGCACACGCCTTTCCACCCTCACAGGTATTTTATTGCTGTCTGTGTCTGCTTTGGGGAGATTTCACCTCACTTCCTGTTCCATCTGGCACCCATTACCTGAGCAGAAAGTTAAATGAAATCTACCTTTAAAGGGGTTCTAAAGGCTCCCTTTTTTTGCCTATATCTACTGCTATGAAGCAGTAGATATAGGCAAAAAGTTTTCTTTTTTTTAAACCCCTGCTTTAACAACGGTTTCAAACTTACCTTGCTTTTGCTGCGCGCTCCTGTCCAAGAAAACAAAACTGCTCCAGCGGCCGCAAAGCATCATGGGGCGGTGTAACAGACTTACCCATCCACGGTCCAGCGATGCATGGCGGGGCCACGCACGGCCAGCTCGGCAGACGGCTCCTCCCCTTCAGGGCCATCATGGACGGTACTCGGCTCCTCCCCTTCAGGGCCGTCCAGGACAGTACTCGGCTCCTCCTCTTCAGGGCCATCCAGGACGGCAGCCGGGTCCTCCCCTTCGCGCACAGCGAGGAGGGATTTAAGGGAGCAAGATTGATTGTTCGGCGTCCGACCGTTGTGAGCGGTGCACATGGTACAACGCTAAGGAGAGACCCTCCATGGTAGCAGCAGCTTCAGCAGCAATAGGATCCATAGGAAATACACAAAACGCAAGTAGCCTGAGGGCAAGGATAAAAGCACAGACTGTCAATTGTTTGCCAACAGATCTTGCTGTCAATAGGAGAGATAGATGATAGCTCTCCCCTCTACACTGCTGTTACACCATTGCTTATGAATTGAGATTGAACTGTTACTCTTACAGTGGCCATACAACTTTAAACCTATGCACTGCTGTTACACCATTGCCTATGAATTGAGACTGAACTGTTACTCCTACTGTGGCCATGCACCCTTAACCTGTGCACTGCTGTTACGCCATTGCTTTTGAAATAAGATTGAACTGTTACTCTTACAGTGGCCATACAACTCTAACCAATGCACTGCTGTTAAACCTTTGCTTATGAATTGAGCTTATCCTGAGTTGTCATTTCTAATTTACTAGTTAATACGGGGGATGATGTTAATTGTTCCAAACCTCCATTAACCAAGAGTGAAAAAGGATACATATACTGAACCCCGTCATTCCACAGCTAACTCCATAGTTGAGTGTCCAGTACTTGATAGAGATTATTACAGGCGGGAGCATGCGCAGTTCGGATTCTCGGCCGGGAGACGAGCAGAGACGCAAGGTAAGTCTATGGATGCGTGCACCCGCATGCAGACACCGCTGGATCGGAAGTGCCTGCAAGCAGAGAGGAGTCAGTGCTGGATCGGAGAGCCGCCGCACCGCTGCAGGGACAGATGAAAACATCAGGAAAGAAGAGGAAGATCGGATTAAGAGACATCACTTAAGGTAAGTGCTGACATTAATATTGGGGGGAGGGGAAAAACATTATCCTTTAATGTCACTTTAAGCTGACACAGACAGCAATAAATCACCTAATAGTTTCCAAACCTTTCCTTGCTCAACTAAAAACTGTTCTTCAGGAAGACAGGAAGTGAGCGAAAATAGCAAGAGAGGAACAACAACTTAAACTTCCCCACAACAAAAAAAGGTTTTGACCTAAGTTTGGCTTTCAATTGAGATGCCTTTGTAGTTTTATCAAGTTTTAAAGCTATTATTTGCTATATTAAGAACACATTGGCAAAGAGAGGTAAGGTGCTTTGCTAGTGCAGAGGGCCAAGACCGTCCTGTAGTGATCAAGGACATAATTAAAGTGGGGTATACACAGTTCTATTTTTTTCATTCAAGCCTTGAGATGAATGAGAAAAATAGATTCCTAATCCTTACAGGCATTAACGGATGAATCCTCTGCTGTTTGCATTGTACTCTGACAGCGCCCTCCAAAACCGGCCGAAATTCGAACCGCGTGTACCGAACTTGAGACAGGCTCATGCAATTATGTTACAACACTGCAACAACCATATGAAGAATAGGGGATGTGTGCAGCTGTCTTGTCTCAGATGTAGGTTCCAGCTGGAATCCCTCATGATCCCAAAGGTGAAGTTGTCATTTTTATATTTACCAACTATTTCAATATGGCCCCAGTTTTCTGTTATTTTTTTTCTGCATGTGTTTAACATGATTTAGGTTAAGGCTAAAGTTAATTTCAGGTCTAGGTTTATTATGAGTTACCCCAAAATGAGGAAATCAGATACATAAAATTACTGAAACTGCAATTTCACTGAAAAAGCAAAATGTGAATCTCGAGAGATGAAAACCATATGTATTTTTTGGAATTTAAGGTTTAGGATTTTAACTGTTGCTTAGTTCAAGCTATTGTGGATTGCTCCAGTAATTGACATACATTTTTTGGCTTGGTTGACTGTATAAAATGATACCAGTCAACTTCAAGCAAACATCTTAACAACATCAAATGCTTCAGATTTGGATTTCAAGTGCTGTTCCAGCAGTTCCCTGCTGCAATCAAATTATAATTCCTATTTTTAATCGTAATGTAAACCTTAAGGCGAATATTAATATTTATCACTTTTGATGTCAAAAAAGTTGGTGCAAAGCCAGGCCTGGAATAAAAAAAAAGAACTTTTTTTCAATGTAAAATGGAAATTGTTTTGCTGTACAGTCTTTTTTTAAGATTGCTAGGAGATGATATGAATCCTGTGTAGATAAAAGAAAACCCTGATTTCAGAAATATAGCTCTGTAGGTAACTCTGCAATTATTTGAAGAATGGATGGACCCGGGAAAAGGTTTTAAGTTAGCTTTAATTATAGACATGCCTCTCCCTTTCATAGCACAACTCCCTCTGGTTACTATCACATGGAAGTTGTGTATCTAAACCTAAAAAGAAACATTTAATATAGTACAACTTACAAGTCCTTCGATGTGGCCGCTGTATTAGTTTTCTTTT